CATGTTTCTCTTTTATTAGATAGGACTAGAGGCCCGGTGCACAAAAATTGTGCACACGGGGGTTGGGGGGGAGGTCCCTCAGTCCGGCCTGTGCCCTCTCGCAGTCTGGGACCCCTCGGGAGATAACGCCCTGCTGGCATAGGCCTGCTCCCGGGTGGCAGAGGGCAGGCCCAATCCCTAGGTGCAGCCCCTGGTCGGGCTGAGAGCAGGCCGATTGGGGAGTTGGGGTGCCGCCCCTGTTATGCACAGAGCAGGGTGGATCAGGAGGTTGCGATGCCACCTTCAGTCACGCTCAGGGTAGGGCCGATTGGGGGGTTGGGGCACCTCCCCGTCACGCTCAAGGCAGGGTCGATGGGGAGGTTGCGGCGCCACCCCTGTCATGCACAGAGCAGGGTCAATCAGGAGGTTGGGGCGCTGCCCCCTGTCACTCACAGAGCAGGGCCTATCAGCGGGGTTGGGGCTCTGTACCCTGTCACACACAGAGCAGGGTCGATCAGGGGATTGGGGATCTGTACCCTGTCACGCACAGAGCAGGGCCCATCAGGGAGTTGGGGAGCTCCCCCGTCACGCACAGAGCTGGGCCAATCAGGGGGTTGATGAGCTCCCCCCTGACACAGAGTAGGGCTGATAGGGGAGTTGGGGCACCACCCCATCACACACAGAGCAGGGCGGATCAGGGGGTTGGGGCGCCGCACCTGTCACATGCAGGGCAGGGCTGATGGGGAGGTTATGGCTCTACCCTGTCACACACAGAGCAGGGCCCGTGGGAGGGGAGGGGGTTGGGGTGCCACCCTCTATTATCCAGGAGCAGTGCCGATCAGGGGGTAGGGGCGCCGCCACTGTCACACTCAGGGCAGGGTCAATGGGGAGGTTATGGCTCTACCCTGTCACACACAGAGCAGGGACCGTGGGGGGGGCGGGTTGGGGCGCCGCACCTTGTCACACACAGAGCCGCAGGGCGATCAGGGAGTTGGGGAGGTCCCCACTATCAGGCACAGAGCAGGGCTGATAAGGGGGTTGGGGCGCCTTCCCTTATAACGAACAGAGCCGCAGGGTGATCAGGGGGTTTGGGAGCTGCCCCCTGTCACGCTGATCCTGGTGCCGGGAGGCCTCGCGGCTCCGCTGACCCCGGTGCTGGGAGGCATATTACCCTTTTACTATATAGGATAGAGGCCTGGAGCACGGGTAGGGGCCGGCTGGTTTGCCCTGAAGGGTGTCCTGGATCAGGGTGGGGGTCCCGCTTGGGTGCCTGGCCAGCCTGGGTGAGGGGCTGAGGGTTGTTTTCAGGCTGGCGGGTGACTGAAGTTCCCAACCGCTCCTTTTTTTCTTTATTCTGGGCCAGCTGTGGCTGCTGAAAGCAGGCATCTGGTTTGTTTGGGTTCTATAATCGAAACACTGTTTCAACTCCAGCTCTGAGATCCTGGCTGGTTGAAAGCAGGTTTTCTGGGGTTTTGTTTAGCTCCTATATTTGTAACAATGTTTCAAACTGCAAGCTCAGAGGCCAGCAGTGGCAGGCGGGAAACGTTGAAGTCCTCCGTCACTGAAGCAAGCAAGCCTCATGTTCGCTTCAAGCTGCCTGGCTGCCGGCCGCCATCTTGGTTGGCAGTTAATTTGCATATCGCCCTGATTAGCCAATGGGAAGGGTAGCGGAGGTACGGCTAATTACCATGTTTCTCTATTATTAGATAGGAAGTTTTAACAAGATGTACTCATCTATTCCCCTTCTACTGATTTTTTAGTTTTTGGTTTTGGCCATTATAAATAATACTAAAATAAACTACTTTGCATAAAAACTTATCCTTTTTCTTTTTGCTGAGCTTGTTAGAAGATAGATCATTAAAGGCTATGAAACTAAAGTCCTTTTGCTAAATGTCACTTTACTACGTTCCACAATGACAGTGACAATCTGCCATGCCGCCACAACATGTCCCTGTAGCCCAGCGGTTCTCAACCTGTGGGTCGCGACCCCTTTGGTGGTCAAACGACCCTTTCACAGGGGTCGCCTAAGACCATCCTGCATATCAGATATTTACATTACGATTCATAACAGTAGCAACATTACAGTTATGAAGTAGCAATGAAAATAATTTTATGGTTGGGTCACAACATGAGGAACTGTATTTAAAGGGCCAGAAGGTTGAGAACCACTGCTCTAGCCTTTCTGGCACTAAGTGTTGCAACTTCTACTTGAAACAAAGCTGGCATCTCTGCTTCTGTGAACCACCTCCCCTGGCTCTGATGCCCGTGCGTGAGCGTCTGCCTCCTCAGACGAGTCACTGTCAAGCTTACAAAGAGGCAGACTGGCTCCCGAGTCCCACCTTCAACACAGTATTAGATCTACCACAGCTTCATAGTTAAAAACCTGGTAACCAGTGGCCAAGAGGTTGAGTGGTAAACCTCAATTCCTCGCTGTCACTGCCTCTTCTCATGCTCCCGGAGGCCCCTCCTCCAGTGGGACAGCCCTGTCTCTGCATCAGGTTCTCCTCTGGCCTCGCTGCTTCCTCTCCAGCCTCTGCTCCTCCCACCCTGGGAGTGCTGAGGCTTCCTGGCCCAGCTCTCACTTCTCACTGCCACGCTTCATTCCTTTCAACTCTCAGCACAGTACTTTTATGCTCTAAAAAGTTGGAAACACTTAAACGTTCCAAAAAACAGGGCACTGGGGACATGACTATGGCACATCCATGAGGATCACCACCCAGCCCCAGAAGGCACAGGGAAGAGCACTGGAGGACAGCACTCGTGTCCTTGTGAAACAGGACGCACACTTTGATGCCACTTTGATTTTAATTTATTTTTAAAATATATTTTTATTGATTTCAGAGAGAAAGGGAGAGAGAGAGATAGAAACATCGATGAGAGAGAATCATTGATTGGCTGCCTCCTGCACTCCTCCCACTGGGGATGGAGCCCACAACCCAGGCATGTGCCCTTGACCGGAACTGAACCCGGAACCCTCCAGTCCACTGGCTGACGCTCTATCCACTGAGCCAAACTAGCTAGGGCAGATGTCACTTTTATTTTAAAAATACTCTGCACACTCTCCTGAAACACATTAATGTATAAATACACATAATGAAATAGAAAAATGCACAGTAAAATGTTAAAGTTCATTATCTCTAGAGATGGTGACTTCTTTTCACACTTTTAAAATATTATGTGTTGGCTATCTGTCACATTTACAGTTGGGACGAGTAATACCTAGGCACCCCCCTCCTCCCAGAGTGGCTTCTGTTCCTACAGGATGTCTGCTCACTAGGCAGAGCCCTGCCACGACCCCCAGCTACTTGGCAACCTTTCCCAGGCCCTCCCAGCAGCCCAGTGCCAGGCCTCTCTACACTGATAGCACAGAGAGTGGGAGCTGTCAGGGGTGGGGGGACAGAGAGGGAAAGACCCTCTGTCTTCCTGCCCCTCCTTTGTGGCCAAGGCCAGCTCCTCAGCAGGGCCCAGATCGCATCCCTCCATGTCCTCAGGGGCCGTGTCCACCAATGGGCCCTCCCCTGCACAGGGAGCTTTCTTCTCTCTCTGGCCCACTGTCATTCACACAGGTCAGGCCTCTCCCACGGGGAACACCCCAACGCCCTCTTCTCTCCCCAGTTTGTTCACTCTTCAACCCACTTTCAACCCTTCCGGAACCATGGCCACAAAGTCCAATGGACCCCTGAGAGAAACAAAACCTGTGAAGTGTGGACTGTGATTACTTAAGAAGAACACGAAAGTAAACGCTGGGCCCTTCTCAAAGGAGGGCTCTATATCAAAACACTGGTGAATGGGCATGTGTTTCCTGTGTTTCAGGTTAACATGGGATTTGCATGTATATAGTAAATTAAAAATCCAATGGAGCCCTCCCCTCCGGGTCTGCCTGGTGGGATCCCTTGGCCACAACTTCCTCCCGAGAGTTCCCTGTAACACCATTCACCACGCGCTCCGGGCCTCCCTCCTCTCCAGCTGTTCTTCCAACTTCTTCCTTAGTGTTGGTGCTGCTTTGGATTTTGCCTTTACCCTTTACCTGGTTGATTTCATTTGCTTTTCTTTGGTTCCCATGGAGCAACTAGTCAATCAATGCCCCTCAAGTCTGTCTCCAGCCTCACTTGCTGGCCTAAACTTCAGATGGCCATATCCAGAGGCCTAATGGATACGTCTGCTTGGATGCCGTGGAGGTCTTGGGAGTCACATGTATTCAAAGGGGATATCATACACTTTTTCCCTCCTGCTATGAAATTTTCTCATTGAATTGCACCGGCACCTACTCATGAGTCCTAGTCAGACCTGTAAATCTTCTATTCCTGCTTTTCTCCTACTGAACCCAAATGCCTTGGAATAATTCTCCATCTGAGTGATAGCAATCTTCCCAAAACTTCATGGGACCATGCCACGTCCCCGGTTAAAATCCTTCACAGACTCTCCAGTGTCCCCAGTGAAGTCAAGACACGGCTAGAAATCCCCCTGGGGTGAGCCCACCTGAGCCCCTTCTGCAGACCTCCCCCAAACACAGCATGCTCCCTCTCTCCACTCAGGGGGAACCACTCCCATCTCTCCACCTTCTCCCCGCTGCTATGACTACAACCTCCTACTTGGCTTTCATGCTTCATTGCTTGCAGATTCTCCCTGGGCACCGAGACTGGTCCTGGTGGGTCTCGGTGCTGAGCCCGACCACCCACCACACGCACCACAATCTCCTGCTTATCTGCCTGCCTCCGCATGAGATCAGAGTTCCCACTCAGCCATGCTGGTATCTGATTCAGGCTCGCAATTTTTATCACATCACAGGAACAAAAATATGACCAGCACAAACAAAAGCAAACTGAGAACAAAGGTATTTAACATTTTTCACAAAGATAGCAAGGCTAACTCAAAATTGCCTTGGGCCTCTAAAAATAATCCTTTCTATTACACGCTAAAAATAACGATGAAGCTCAGTAATGACAGTGGTCAGTGTTCAGAAGAATCATTAATCACCACTTAATCGATATACAGTTCTCTATTAGTCCGGGGATACTTACAATATCACAGTCCTTCTTGCCATCTCGTTTAATTGGCTCATTCAGATCCTCTTGGCTTCGAAAACTGAACTTTTCAATGGCTTCTGTAACTCCACGCAAAGAACTATAGATTTCTTCAGAGTTCAGGTTCTCTGTATCATTGTCCAGCAAGCTAAAGATCAAAATATTTTCTTTCTTAAATTGAGGAATATGCATAGAATTGAGACGTGTGCATACATTTCTTCTAATAATTTACGGAGTAAGGTACAGTTTTGCTTCTTTCGGTGATTTAGGTGGAATGAAAAGAAGACATCTGTTATTAGAGCACCACTGGGGGACAAGTACACACCTTCCCTGTCAAGCCTGGTCCTAACACGTTGCATCGCACACAATTAGAACCAGCGGGAAACCACCACGAGGATGCAAGAACTCAGAGTGATGACTGGTGACTGAATGCACGAGGTAATGAAAGTGGAAAAATAACCGGCATATCTTGAGCATGGAAGAAAGTAGATTGGTTGTTACTGGTCTCAAATGTACAAACTTAAATGAAAAGGAATGGGCACTTCAAAGTAAAGCTAGATTACAAACAGATTTCAGAGGAGCAAAGCAAATGACTTCACCACACTGGGTTATGCTCACCAGTATCAGAAACTTGTACATAAAATCTTGTGTTACCGCCCAGCTGGCGTGACTCAGTGGTTGAGCACTGACCTATGAACCAGGAGATCAGGGTTCAATTCCCAGTCAGGGCACATCCCTAGGTTGCGGGCTCGATCCCCAGTTGGGGGCGTGCAGGAGGCAGCTGATAAATGATTCTCTCTCATCACTGATGTTTCTCTCTCTCTCTCTCTTCCTCTCTGAAATCAAAAAAAACTAAACAAAACTAAAACTAAAATACCAACCCTATAAGTTGAAGTCAGCTCCACCTTATCACTGGGCTCCTGAGAGTCTAACTCGGCTATCTAACCCAGGAACTTGTTGGGAATATCAAATCCTTGTAGATGCTTATTTTGGAGTTTTATAATAAGAGCCGATCTTATAAAGATGAGTCAGTTTCTAAATGCATGTTTAAAACCATTTTCAAAAAACACAAACTTATCTGTCCCTTAAAGAAAAGTGATTATCAACTGATGTCATTTTTTAAAAAAATTTAGCATAACTAAAATGAAATGAAGCAAAAATCTTAACCAGCCTTTGGTGGAATGCAGTGTACCAACAAGTGGCCTTTAGGTGTCTGAAAAGTACACTGAAATTGAAAATCCCAAGAACAAAAACCATCAGCTGCCCCTCATTAAGAATATATTTTAAAAGCACAGAAAAAATATAAGAATATAAAGAAAGCAAAGGTGAAGGAACACTCAACAAAGACAAGTCCAAACTATAACTTAGTTTAGATGTCACTTGTTTCAAAAAATACCCAGGACAAAATCAGTTGTGTGGTCTATGTGGCTGCAAAAAGTCCTGAGCTACACGGAGGATTGCTAGGAACACTAAAGAGTCCTTGGCTTTAGGAAAGGAAGCTTTCACCATTACTAAGGACGGCACTCTTTCTGCTCCTCTAAAGAGAAATAATGAATTAAGCACCCACTGGCAGGAGCCCTTCCACAGGACAGCACAAGCCACCCCTCACAGAGGTAAGTTTCCTGTCACTTAAAAACAAACACACGTCCTAAGCCCCTCCCCTGTCTACTGTTGTTTTTTTAGAGCTTGGGCAGGCTTTGGACAGCTCTCACTTGGAGTGGTCAGGCTGCCTGAGGGTGCAACGATGCGTTTTCTAGGCTAGTCAGGTTCCGCTGGAGCGTCAGGCAAATTCACTCTTAGATGGGAGCTAGCTGCCTAAAACTGCAGAACCGGCCCAGACAGAACGCACTTTTCTGTTCTGATGAAAGAAAATACACACCCTACCTGTACTTGGCCAGTTCACAGACATATCAACTCAAAGATGGGCTCTGGCGTCAAACAAAGAGGGAATGAACCTGAACATACAGCTAAAATCCCTGTACACACTGACAGGAGGTGGATAAAAACTCGGACAGAATTCAAGATTTCCAGTCCTTCTAAATCGCCAACATTATCGCCCCATGAGCTCCACAAACACCACCATCCCAGCTTTGTATGAGCAAAACCATTTATACATCTGGCCAGTACACTATTTTTAATATATAAAGACTGAATAAACAAAAAATACATATATAAGATGTAAAAAGATGTCTTAAAATACTTTGAATCAAAACAACCAAAACTAATAACATAGCCCATGCGCACACACACACCAAAAAGAAAAGGAAGAATGACGGACAGACAGGAGGAAGTGATGACGGTCAGCTTTTTAAGGGATGTCACAATATTATTTTCCATGTGTCGCTTCAGATGATGTTAACTTTCACATAATTCATCTTATTTTCCTTTATCTGAACCTCCTTAGAATGTTTCATTTCAGTTCACATGACTTTAGCATTACAGTAGCCTCTTTTTAAAAGAGAAAGCAAAGGATTCTGCCAGCTCATGCTCCTCCGTACTGTCAATTACTACAGCAGGGCAGACTTCCCTGCAGCCGCCCATGTGCACGGCCGAGGCCGGGCTGCCGCTCCTTTCAGACTCGCTAGCTGAGGTCTCGAAGGGCTCCTTGGTACGAAGCGAAAACTGTGAGCTCCAGGTGAGAGCGATCATTGTTTCCCTCGAACAGGAAACAGGGCTGCTTTCTTGGCTATTTTATGCTTTGGCTTGATTTGTCTTTTTTCAAGTCAACACCTCTGAGCCCTCATTTCATACAGAAAAAGGAAACTCCCATGAATGCCGTCATCAGGGAACTGTAGACACTGTGGCCCCAACAAGCCACACGCTGGGGGAGCAGCAAGCCACACGCAGCAGCCTCACTCGGGGGTAGCCCGGCCTGTCACCTGCCCCGCACTCAGCTCGGAGACAGCTCTGGGAATGACCCTAGGGCAAGGCCAGGCCCTGTCCCTGTAAACCTGTGATGAGAGTCCAGAAAGTTTGCCTCAGGAGCCTTTAGATTAGCAAGAGTGGCTCCACTGGTCAGCAGTCACTGACCTGGGGTCAGCCATGCACCCAACACTGAGCCCAGCACAGCCCTGGGCCGCAGGCTGTGAAGGGCGTGGATCCTGAGTGGGGAGGTGCACGAGGTCAGGTTGCCAAGGAAAGAGAAACCGGAGACAAGCAATTGTCTCCTTAGGTTTTCTTTGTTATTCTGTAGGGAAAAGATACTAGGGTATAGAAAAAGGATAACTGGTCCTTGTTATGAAATAAATAGGGTTTTGGTAGAGAGCAAAGAGACAGACTTAGATTTCCTCTTGGTTTTATGTGAGCAATAGGCTTTCTAACTGTAAAAGCTCGCCACCTCTCTCCCAATGGTTGCATAAGGTCCAGGATTTGTTAAACATCAGCTGCATTACTGTGCCACGTGCGAATGAGGATTCTGGGAACAGGGCGCCCTCGGAGGGCATGGCGGCTGGCTGGGGAGACTGGTGGGGTGAAGCTTGGTGCCCATTAGGGCACAGTCAGTTTACCGGGAGACATTAAACTGGTCTTACAACTTGAGGCCTGATTAATCTTAAAAAAAAAAAAAAAAAAAAGGAACCCCAACCGGTTTGGCTCAGTGGATAGAGCACCGGCCTGCGGACTGAAAGGTCCCAGATTCGATTCTGGTCAAAGGCATGTACCTTGGTTGCGGGCACATCCCCAGTAGGAGGTGTGCAGGAGGCAGCTGATCTCTCTCATCGATGTTTCTAACTCTCTATCCCTCTCCCTTCCTCTCTGTAAAAATAAATAAATAAATAAAAATAAAATCAATAAAATATATTAAAAAAAAAGGAAGTGTAGCGACATCGTTACTAACGCTGAGGACAGAGGGACACCTAACCGTGCCTACCTACAGTCTTGCAGGGTTCTCTCCACGTCAGAAGTGACTTTAGACAGCATGTTTCAAAAGAAAGACGTTAAAACGCTCAGCTGACTGTTTGCCACGTACAGCCTAGCTGTCGTCTTCTCTGCAGCGCTCAGAAGTGAGCTTCACAAGCCCATCGGACACAGCACCGCCACCGGAGCTGCCCTGCCCTGCCCTGCCCTGCCGACCGCAGCCTTCAGGACCGGGTTCTTTGGTCTCGGAACCTTACACGAAGCACGAAGAGACCTGCCGCTCTGTAGGAACACCTGGCCCCTGCCCTGTGCCCTGGACTTACCATCTGAAGCAGGCCCCTCCCCTTCCCCAGACTCAGCTGCACTGTGCCATTGAAGCAGGGCCTGGTGAGGACACCAACAGCCCTCCTGCTAGGGGCCGGCCTCCCCGGAGATGCACCTAAACGCCCTTCCCTTCGCGGGGCTTCCTTTCTGGGTCTGTGTCCTGAGACGATCACCAGGTGACCGGACATTACCCAGCTGTCAGTCCACACTCTCGCCAGCAGGCCTGAGAGCTGCAGGTGGAGTTTGGGAAGAGCAGGTCTGACCTGCTCTTGGTGGGAATGCCTTGGACCCTGAGAAGAAGGCTAAGGAAACTGCTGTGCCTGCCTCACTTCACGCACTGCCTGGCACCTCCTGGGGGCTGAGCACCGCACCGGGCTAGGCTCGCACGGGAGATGCTAACAGGGTCCTCAGTCCTTGTGACACGGGAGGAACCACACTCACGAGGTCCGACAAGGATCACGCACCTGCTCACGCTTCTCACCAAGGCTCTCCTCCTGCTAATCGAAGCCAAAGCAGGGCCACCGGAGGCAGCTGAGAGGCTTTCGGAGACTGAGGCGACCTTGGGGATGCAATAATATTGTGACACCTCAGACGAGCTGACAGGTAGCGTGTTACCTGGGAGAGTAAGAGCGCCTGAGTGTCTTGTGGGAGGGAGCGGTGGGAATGAAGCTGGGCTGAGAAAGGGGAGGGGGGTGCTTCGATAGCCCATCGGCACTCCAACCCCATAACCGACTGCAGTGATCAGAAGAGGAAAATCAGAAAGAGAAGCAAAAAAAGGCAAAGGGGAAGGGAGGAGGAAGATGCTACGTTCTAGTGTCTTAGAGTCTGCTCTTTCCTTGACCAAGTTCTATCGAAATTCATTGGAGTAAAGTTAATAATTCACCACACAGGGAAAAAGAACACTGTTTTTGGTTACAATTTGGCTTCGATAAGACTGCAATCCTTTCCCCCTCGGTCATGCATTTACATTTTTAAATCACAGGAGATTCTGAGTGAAGCGTGTGCATACATTGGGAAGGACATTATAGGCACTTAAAAAAATACATGGATATTCTGTGTCAGATCACGTAATCACTTGTTTTAGAAAGAACCAAAGAAGGAACTACAGGCCTTAATTCCAATGGGACCAAAGGAACTATAGCAGGAAGACTCAGAGGACGTGTCCTTGTGGCCAGAGGCTGGGATCCAATCAGACGGGATTCTGAGGCTGCCACAGCCATTTCCTCCTGTAACAGTAACGTCACCACTGGAAGGCCAGGCGCCAACGCTCAGCTAGCCAGCTCAGAGGGCACCCCAGATCCAGTCCTCTGCTCCTGCCACCCAATGAGAAGGCTGAGATCGCCTGCGAACACAAGCATTCCTCTTCCCGCGCACAGGGCACTCACTACGTGACCTGGGCTTGCCAGGCGCCCTGCCGGCTGTTCTTACAACTGTTGTAATTCAAGAGAGCCAGGGGCCTGGGAAAGGCTGGGGCAGCCCGGCTGGACAGGGGACAGGAGGCTGGGGGAGGCTGGGCGCAAGGACTCCGCGCACACCGCCCCCTGCCGGCTCCTCGCAGTGCTACAAGCAGGAGCACAAAGCTTACCTCCACCTGAGGACAGTCATGGCCCCATTTCGTAGACAAATGAAGTGTGGAGATGCGAGTCCCTGTGCCTTAAAGGGGCTAAGAACTGTCTCTCCGTCACACACTGGGTTGGGGGAGGGCAACCCTCTCAGGCCGGAACTCTGCTCCCTCCTACGGAAGGCCGGGCCCCCATGCACCCACTTTGATTCTACGGACGGTCCTGATCCTCTGGTGGTGAATGTAAACCCCCGAGCGACCTGGGACTGCCAGGGGTGGCAGAGGTCCCCTCGCAGTGCCACTCGCTCTGCGGCAGGTCTGCCAGCACCGGAGTGAGGACGGCACGTACTTTTTTATCTTCAAGGCAATGGATTTCTGAAGTCCTTCCAACTCTGCTTCCATTCAACATAAACCACACGGGGTAGTGTGTTCAATGGTGACAACTGCAGGTCAGAACTCTCCTCTCCAAATACCCAGAGTATTTGTTTACTAGATGAGAATAAGCAGTAGTTCCTCCCTCACACAGACACAAGGAATGGAATGTGCCACAAAAGTTTGGCCTGTTAGCTATGGCTTATCTAATACTATTGGCTTAATAAAAGTGACTTCTTTACTAGTGATTAAAAAAAAACACCAACTACCAAATTAGATCCCCCCCCACATCTTTTTAGAATATTTCCTTATTACCATCATGATTCAAGGATAGAATATTTGGAAAAAAAACTAATAATAGTTCATTTTGATACTCAATATTAGATTAAAAAATAACCAGCGCTGACTTCTCCCCTTCAGTGTGGAAAGCCACTGTCATGGTGGCCGCAAGAGCACAGGCCCAGAGAACGGGCGCTTCCAGAGCCCGAGAGACCGCCTCCTCGGGAGCCGGCGACAGGTCCATTCTCCCAGTGAGTGCAAGAGTTCCTTTCTCTTAGAGTTTACCTGGTAGGAAGTATATTGCCTATTTGAATATTTCCAGTGATGTGATGTCGTGAGGCTGTTTTTCCTACTTGGGGCAGTTTTAGTTAAGAAAAACATTTCTCTAAATGAGTACAAACTGGGCTCAGCCCATCTGGCTAGTTAGGCACTGACTAGGACACATGCTTTTAAAAAAGAAAGGCCCAGCGGGCGTGGCTCAGCGGTGAGTGTCACCCTGTGAACCAGGAGGTCACGATCAGGGCACATGCCTGGGTTTCAGGCTCGATCTCCAGTGGGGGGCGTGCAGGAGGCAGCCGATCAAGGATTCTCTCTCATCATTGATGTTTCTATCTCTCTCTCCCTCTCCCTTCCTCTCTGAAATCAATAAAACTATATTTAAGAAAGAAAAAAAGAAACTACATAACTAAGTAATTCCCTAAAGAATTTTTCAAACAAAAAACTATTTAGGCCACACTTGGAGGTTTTAATATAGAAAATAAATCTCTCCATTTCTTCTACTGACCTGTAACCCTAGCAGTAAACATTAAAGTTAAGCCAATTAAGAATGAATGACGATCTGGAAAAAATAAAATTTTTATTAATTTAGGGATCCATGAGATTAATACTTAGCTCTAATAAATTATGCTAGCAGCTCCCAACAATCTTTTACTTAGACTATTAGCACAATTAATAAAATACTTAATTTGTTTTACCTTTTGCTTATTACCTAGAGAGTGTACCACCCTGATAATGAAATAGTTAAAACATATGATCTGTGTATTATGAAAGAACAGATTTCCCATTGATGGTGCAAGTATCACTTCCAGAAGCAACACTTTATAGCCAGAGAACTCTGTGACTTTGCTGCTAGCACTGACCCTGGGCCACTGAAGACAATCACACACTGTGACACACATAGAGATGTTAGCATGAAAAACAAGTGGCCGGCGAGCCTCAGCCACGCCTGTGGAAAGGCAGGCACATTCCCCTGAGTTCCTGGTCTCCAATGTCTCATTAGAGTGGCTTGCTGCTGAATCATGACAACAGCCCAGACTTGGAGTCAGAACATCAGACTTTAACCTACTTAGAGTGCTGGGAGGGGGACTTTGGGATGAATAAACTTAAGGCAATATCAACAGTGGGACACTATTACTATAAGCGGATAGAACACTTTGTTTCACCAAGAGAAAAGTACAAGTTTGATATATCCCAAAATATTTATACTATAACCTGAGGAACTGAAGAGAAATTCACTGGTAAGAACAAAGGAATAAGGGAGACTCTTGATTATGTAAAAATAAAAATTTAAAGGCTCTTATGTTTTGATTATCTTCCTACTAGAGAGGTAATCCTTAAAGGGAAAATGGCATACTTGCAACATTTTCTTATAATTTTAAGATCTTGATGTCAGCAACCCTTAAGACACAGCCCCTTAATTCTTGCTGTCAGTGATCCCAAAGACCTGGACTTCTTGTAGACAGCACAGCATGCACGGCGCTGGCAGGTCCAGGTGGGGGTCCTGGGGGCACATGCCGGGTCCCCAGAGCCACCTGAGACGGCTGCGACCCTGGCCGGGAGGAGCAGTGTTAACCACCGGTCCCGAGGCAGAGACACTGCCTTAGACTCTGCAAAGCCAGTGCTCACTGAGTCTGAAATGCTGCTCCAAGTTCAGCTCTCGGGTTCTTACTCCCTCCTCCAGAGCAGCAGCCCGCTGCAAACATGAGCCCAGAACGACAGCCACGATGCTTGCAATGGGCACTGGGCTGGAAAACTACCCCAGGCTATGTGTGGGCGGGCTCGGAGGGCTTGTGTAGGTGACTAAACAGCCTCTTCAAGGGCTCCCACCACTTCGAGGACTGGCGATGAGTTTCTAACGATTTCTTTGTGTAGCAGTGCTAAATGTGACTTCTTAGCTTCAAAACCTTTAAGGTATTGGACTGTGCTCAGAGTTAGAAGAAACTCAGAGAACATTCAGTACAAATCACGCGTTTCACTGTAGATGTTGCCCAAAATTATTCAGTTAAGATTTGGCTGAGGACTGGAATCCATGATCTCCTGATACCCATACATTTTCTGGTATTAAGCTTGGTAAAAACCGTAAAAATAGGCTACACTTCCGTGTCTTCACTTCTGTCGAATCCCATTACCTTGGAGACAGGCCCCCGTGGGAACAGTTGGTAGGTGAGGTCAGGGGGCTGGTCCTGCTGCTGTTGTGTCGGGAGGGAGTCCGTCCAATTGTGTTGCTCGGAGAGCTCTGGGGTGAAGGCAGAATAAGCATCATTACTCCAGGGCTAAACAGAGAATATGGCCCACTTTTCCCTTGGCCTTTTCACCCACATGTGTCTACACGGGCACAATTTGTACAATCAGAACGATTCTTTTTCCGAATCCTTGGGGCCAATTTTAAGTGCATATTAAACAAAAAATGGATGATTTCCATATAGGCATTCCTGAAACCGAATAACTGATGCCAGCTGTGCTAGAGTAAAAGACTCAATTGAGCATTTACATCTCTACAGCATAAAAAAGTATGTAACTGACTGAATAACCTAACTTAAGAAAATGGCCATATTGCCCTGGCCGGTGTGGCTACTGGTTGAACATCATCCTGAGCATTGAAAGGGGCCGGTGTGATTCCTGGTCAGGGCACAGGCCTGGGTTTCGGGCTCAATCCCCAGTAGGAGATGTGCAGAAGGCAGCCGATCAATGTTTCGCTCTCACATCAATCTCTCTCTCTCAATCCCTCCCTCCCTCCATTCCCCCTCTAAAAATCAATTAAAAAATCTTTCAGAAAAAGAAAATGGCTGCATTTACTTTTTTTAAAAAAAATCTTCACCCAAGGATATTTTTTACATTGACTTTATTTTTTTGGAGTGAAAGTAGACGAGGAAGGAAGGGAGAGACGAGGGAGAGACAAGGGAGAGACGAGGGAGAGAGAAGAGAAGAGAAGAGAAGAGAAGAGAAGAGAAGAGAAGAGAAGAGAAGAGAAGAGAAGAGAAGAGAAGAGAAGAGGAGAGAAAACACTGATGTAAGCGAGACTATCAATTGGTTGCCTCCTGCATGCACCCAAATGGGGCCAGGGATTGAGCCTGTGACCCAGAATCGAAGCCCCAGCCCCTTGGTCCGCAGGCTGACGCTCTAACCATTTAGCAAACAGGCCAGGGTGAAAATGGCCATATTTAAATACCAGGTTCATTCATTCATTGGGAATATGGCAGGATTAAAACTGGTCTCTCACTCTTGAGACAACCACAGTCTATTAAAAGAGAGTAAGCAAGCTGGTTGTTAGAGCAAGCTGTAGACGAGGGACACAGAGAGGCCATGGCCAGTACACAAAGGCACCAACATGGCCGAAGCACTCACCACACTGGTGTTACTGGAATTCTTGAGGTGGTTATGCAGGAGTTTGGTGGCACCATCCTGGAATGTTTTGGGCAAGGCACCAAGTAACATAGTAAATTCAGGAGTGTTCAATTCAAACAGCGATATTAGCACAATCTGGGCAGCCTAGGAAAAGAAGACATGATGAATTTATGGAGTGTCCAACAGCATATCTTAGTCAAAATGTTCATGAAAATTGTTTTTAAAAGAAAACATTTTTATATGAATAAAATAAATAATAAAAGGACATCTTTGCTATAAAAAAACAAAAATAAAATGTACCTGGAAAAAAATTATATCAACTCTAAATAGTGTTACTTCAACCTGGAAAAGAAGTCCTGGGTGCATTTAACACCCCAGCCTTGGGCCTCCGTAGCACGTTCATAATAAACTCCGAAAGCTTCCCTGTGCTGTCGAGCACCAGGAATGAAGCTGGTGAAGACACACAACACGCTTCTAAGCAAGCTCCTGAGTTCCCTCAACCCCACTCCTAGTGACTGAGAAATACTAGAAAAAGGCAGCTCAAGTGCATCTGAAAACTCCCACGTTCACCCCTCTGAACTGGAGAGAGTCTGCGAAGCAAAGCAGAATTACATGATACAAATGAAAAATGTATTCTCCTGCCTTTCAGAAAGCGTTCTACCTCTGCGTGCTAGTGGGACAACATACTGCAGGACTGCTTGCACCACTGCAGTGGCAGGTGGGGAAAAGCAATCAGCCGAAGCCATAGCAGCCGCGCGAGGCTCGAACTCCTCCAGCAAGCTCTGGTGCTGGGGAGGCAGCCGGCACTCTTAGCCTAAACACAACGCCTAAGGAATTGGTTACATAGGTTTGATTTAGAAAAACTATGCCAAAGAACATTTTACTAAGTACTAACTGGCATTTCTTACAAATTTCTAAGAGTCAAAAGAAAGGAAAGAACATTATGAAAATCTTTTGACTAAAAGCATAAATTTATTTTTCTTAAGACTGTAACTTTTAGGATTGCAGTAATTATTGTGAATATTTTCCCCATGATATATAATATTACCCCCCCCCCCAAAAAAAAATCTGCTGAGAAATTCTTTGGAAATAAGCATCACAAAATATTTCAATGCTTTTACAATGTGAAAATTTTTGGTACAGTAAAGACAAAATTGATGTTTATGCCTGGAGAAAGAAAAAAAAAATCCAAAGACCCAAATGTATTTAACCAAAAATAAAAATTAATTATGAATGTTAAAACATCAGTAGGATGTTCTTTACAGAATAATCAAAAATTACTTTTCAATATGTCAAACATATCTATAATGATTCACTACACATAGCATTTGGCAAAAGTATCTTACTTTTTCTCTTGACCTGCAAACACAGGCGTTAGTAACCTTTCCATTCCAATTAAATCACAACAGGCCAGTTGCTTTCATGACAGGACCAAAATGTTACTATAATTGTACTAAAATATACAGTTCTCTATTTCATTATTGTATCATTCTTAATAAATCATTATCTGGAAGAATCCATTTCACCACCCATTTAATATACTAGTAACATGATTTCAATGTTTACGTAAGAGCAAATTCCAAAAAAAAAACAACACATGCAAAGCAACCTGTGCATTTTAAAACACATTGGATTAGATGTTAGGAAAAGTGCATGCAGAAAAAACTGCACTTCAAAGAGAAAGGAAGGAGCAGACTTAATCTAGCAGGGCAGGAAATCAATGCTGACCGAAATCTAGTAAGAAAGTTTAGGCAACTACTTTTTTGTTGACTGAAAATGACATTTGAAAATTATAAAATGGAAACAGTACAATCTTCCCAGACATGATATCCAATGCCACAAACTTACTTGAGGTTCTACATGAAGTAAATTACAAAATGAGTGGGATCTTTCAGGACCACGAAGGCTGCAAGATGATGGGCTAGAAAGTGTGCTGATTCATGGCTACTTAACATTAGTAACTTTCCTTCTGGGGGGGTGGGGGGGGGAGTGCAGTAGATTTAACTTTGACCCACCAATGAACTTTCTCTCAATAATAAAAAGTTGAATTTCTTTAAGAAATCAAATAAAAAGACAGGGAATTTTGAAAACGTAACTCGATGGACAGATGGTATATGTGTGTGATTTACATATAGAAATAAATACAATTTATTTTTACATTTTCCAAAATATAAAATGCATATGATTTTATACAGTTCACAAAAGTTATGCCTTAGGTTAAAGCTATTTTCAAAATAAAATATTTTTCTAATGAGATTCAAGCTCCAGAAATGGATAAAAAGTGAAATTTAAATATATTATTTTAAAAATATTTTAAATCATAGTTTCAAAAGGAATCAAAGTATATGGTCCTAAGATATTTTATCTACAACCCTCTGTGTCAGTGAGAAGTTAGAATACTAGAGTCCAAGAAGAAAACTGAGCTGTATTTGTCATGACCATCAATATCCTCTCACTAAAGAAATAATTCCAAATACGGGGATGAGTTGGAGAGACGCATTGGAAAAAGCCTGGGCATGGCTCCCCTTCAGTAACGAATCAAGAGGAGCAGGTTCCTGTCCCACCTCTGAACTCGTGCCTTCCGCAAAAGGCACTGAGTAGCCACACAACCTCCAGGGAGCCGCTGGCTTCTTCTAATGAACAGCTGGGACGATTTATTTTAACGATTCAGTAACAGCTGAAAGAAGAAATGATTCCCGTTCACGCCCCTACACAGAATGTGGGGGGTGAGGGTAAAGGGTTCTTCCAATGTTACAGCTGCTGTGTGAGAGCCCCCCGGTTACCCGCTGTGCACCTCACAGCAGAAAATAACCCTTCTGGACAGGGGGTCGCGGAGCTCTGGCAAATGCTTCAGGGGAAACTTAAAATTGGGGAGGAAGAGGAGTTTGCTGTTTAAGCAACTATTACTATGCCCTTCAGATTGTCATTAAAATTACTTTAGAAAATCACAAAGAGTTGGTACTGGAAAACTGTCAGGCATTTCTTACTTAGAAGCTGTCCCTTACTGGTCCATGAACATAGGGTAGCACTGGACGTGGCTATTTCTTTGGAAAGGGAGTTAATCATAAAAACATACCAAACACAAACATTTCCGCAGCTTCACACACACTCACATAGAATTATATTAATTTTAGATTTCTTCAAAATCTCTTGTCTCCACAAGGGTAATCAGTATTAATATTCTAAAGTGCAAACAGCAAAATATCTTTTCAAATCAGCACAGTTTTAAATCTACCTGTTTACAATTTTCTTCCAAGTTTCCTTCTCCGCGCCCAGAGCAGGTTGAAGCTGACCTAGTGGGGAAATCCTCACCTACGCGACTACGCTGCAGCGGGGACTACAACAGGAAAGGCAGGGGGATTCGTCAGAGAAGCAGAAGTGCTTACATAAAGCATGGTTACCGGGAGCTGGAAAAGCATTCGGCTCCTTTTAGAAAATGTCCTACACATAGGATCCAAAAGCTAAGATTAAGGAGAACAGTAACAGTAGCAACTCCCAGGTTTAAACCTCGATCGTTTGCTAGGCCCTTGGCAACTGAGATCCTTCCTGGAAGGAGCAGTCTTCTCGCCCTAGTGCGGAAACAGGTCAGAGGTCAAAGTGAGACCGGAAAGGGCAGTCACAGCTAAGCTGAGATGAATCAATGGCAAAATCCTTAGCTTTCAGTAGGCCACACTGCCAATCTATAATTGGTAATTTAACATTTCTTCAATTTTTGAAATTTCAACTTTTAAAGGCTATTTATATGCTTTTCCTGCTCCAGGAACAGCCTCTTTTCTTTGCCATCTTCATTTCCCACATTTCTCACATTTGGGGGCTAATCTGTTATTTCCTCTGACAAAGCAGATGCTATATGTTAGAGAATCACATATGATAAAGCAAAGGGATTCTGAATCCTAAAATATAAACATATTGTTCAAATTCTACTGTCATTACCACCCTCCCTTTAACTGATGAGAAATCTTCCTAATGCCAGAAAAAAATTGGTTTTCAATTTGTTCCACTACCAGCAACAACAAAACCAAAACAATCCTCAAGCAGTAGCAGCAAGAGCTACAACAGCAAATGAAGCGCCTTCAGCTCTTTCTATCCTCCCAATAATGTCTAAAGCAAGTGTTATTATTCTCATTTTACAAATAAGTAAAAGGAATTCAGAGGTTAAATTACTTGCTCATGTCACTAAAGAGTGACAGAGGCAGCCCTGGCCTGGTGGCTCACTGGGTACAGTGTCAGCCTGTGCACTGAAAGGTTACAGGTTGGAGTCCCGGTCAAGGGTATGTACCTGGCCCCGGTCGGGGCATGTGCAGGAGGCAGCCAATCAATGTGTCTCTCTCACATCAATGTTTTTCTTTCTTCCTCTCTCTCTCTTTTTTTAAAAAATATTTTTATTGACTTCAGAGAGAAAAGGAGTGGGAGAAAGACATAGAAACATCAATGATGAGAGTGAGGAGAGAATCATCGATTGGCTGCCTCCTGCACACCCCCTACTGAGGATCAAGCCCGAAATCTGGGCATGTGCCCTTGAATGGAATCAAACCCGGACCCTTCAGTCCGCAGGCCGACGCTCTATCCACTGAGCCAAACTGGCCAGGGCTCTTTCTTCCTCTCTTGTTCCCTCTCCCCTTCCCTCCCTTCCACTCTCTCTAAAAAAATCAATGGAAAAATAAAAATATCCTTGGGTGAGGATTAACAAGAAAATAACCTGTTTTATCTTTTATAGCTTTAAAATGATAATGACAATTTTAGATCTTAGAGCAGAGTAATAAATAATCACAATTTCTAACTATTTTTTATTTAGCTACTACATTCATGTAGACCAGTGGTTCTCAAACTTCCTAATGCTGCGGCCCTTTAATACAGTTCCTCATGTTGTGGTGACCCCCAATTTCATCGTTACAAACTGAACATAATTAAAGCATAGTGATTAATCACAAAAATAATATGTCATTATATATGTGTTTTCCGATTGTCTTAGGTGACCCCTGTGAAAGGGTCGTTCAACCCCAAAGGGGTTGCGACCCACAGGCTGAGAACCACTGCTGTAGTCAGTCTTTCAAATACATCTCCAATGCTGGGTAAGGCAGCTGCATCACCTACAACAGTTATATTATATAATGTAGAATGATGGTACCTGAAAACACAGCATT